GATGATTTTTATTATGTCCTGATACATAAAACCACAGAACTCAAAGAGGGTGTACTTCCTTTTTCACACGACTGTACATGTTATATATGGAATTAATTACAAGTTTGATCAAATAAAGTTAATATGAGAAACTCCAAAGGCAACTGGGTCACTTCGGGTGAAGAATGGCAAACTGATGCTCCGCAGATTGCAGGGAACATTATGGCCAAAAAGGCAGATGGATGCTGGATCCAGACTGCTGAAAATTCTCTCTGGATTAAGGAGAGATCTTGAGATCACACATATGTACTCTGGACAGCTTTTTTTAGTGAACAGATGGCAAAAACTGATGTTTTTGTGGTCTCTTGAGATCAGTTGGGAGTTGCGGGATTCCATCCTGCTCAGAGCTGTTAATGTAGCCTTTTATGGACTCAGAGTTTTTGTTCCTATTTTGAGCTGATAAGAAGACTTTGAAGGTTGGACACTAGAGGGCACCAGATAGCTACTTTAAAGGAAATGTTTGATCTTTGGGTCCAAGAGGTTTTTGAGCTATTTAACTCTATAATGGACTAAAAGGTGTTACTGAAGAGGAACAAGCCCCACTGAATAAAATTGAAATGGACTTTAAGGTGGATTTAAAAATTACAACTCACAAGAAAGAGATGGAAATATTGGATCTACAAATGGAATTGGATGATGACTTAAAAATTAAAAAAGATATACAAATAATAAATCAAAAGAGCGATGTGGATTATTTTCTTATATTGGAATATAAGGGATCTACTGGAGTTACTACACTGGAATTACAAAACGACTTTGATAAAGATGACAAGAATTTCGAGAGAACAGACGAAGAGTATGGGAAAGCAGATGTTAGAACTTTATTTGTGGGACTTAAAGATTGCTGGAAGAAAGAAGAAAAAATACAAAATACAAAAAAAGGAAAAAGGAAAAAAAAATCAGTTAAGGGGCTGCATCACGGTGCAACCAAGTGCCACCACATATTTGCATCCTAATTCAAAGGTATAACTTCATGAGCCTGTAGGCCTCCCAGGAAAAGGCAGAGTCCTTTATGGAGCAGCTGACAGGTTCAGATTCTGTGTTAGATTCTGAACCACCCTTGCACACTGCACACCTCTAAAAATTATGGCTGAAGAATTATTCTGATGTATAACTGACACTTTTCATGCAGTTAAGGTTTCTGTGCACATATCCAACTACATTGTTTCTGTTTTATTCTTTTTCAACCGTGTTGGTACACAGTGACTAGGAATTCTGAACTCTGAAAGTAGTAAGGTGGAAAAAGGCTGAGAGATGCTTCTAGGTACTGAAACTTGAATTTTATAAAGAGTGACTACAGTATCTAGTGTAAGTAAAATTCATACAATAATAGACGTATATAAGACTAACCTTACTAAGAGAAGCTTTAATTTTTTTAAGGCATAATGAAAGAAGTTCTCTTGATTCCAAAGCACACTGTAGCCAAGCTGCTGGTGGCTGAAGATATCTGAAATTTAAAGAAGGAAAAAAAATCAACTGAACCATAATCCCAATATTGGGGGGTGAAGGGTGGGGTTTTAAGGCAATCCCCTCCCACCTTCAGTACTGATAACACAGGCTCATGATACTTTTATGAAACAATATGAAGAATAAATGTGTTATGTTTCAGGGTCATAGAAGTCAGCAGGATTTTTAAAATGTAGCTATGACTAATTTGTTTAATTAATTTCAATGGCACTAAAGCATAACTTATAGTACAATCTTAAAAGTTCCACTGAATTCAATAAACTTGTTTCAGGAAATTAACTATATTATTTGAATTTGAATCCAACCTATGATCTTGAAAATCAAGATATTTTTCTATGAGCAATATACCCAATACCTTATGTTTTTATCTAAAAACACACAGAATTGAGTTTAATTCACTCTAGATGAAGATAGTGATAATGATGGTAATGATTGTCATCATCGTCATCATCATCCCATCTTTCTACTTGGTTTGAGCAAATAAGACAAAGTCAGGCAATCAAGAAATGCAAATGTCAAAAACCAAAAATTCTGGACGTAAATTAAAACTAGTTATATAAAAAACTATTCCTGGAAAAACTATTCCAGGGGTGCTTGTCCATTTATGGAAATGTATCTTCTACAGCAGAAATAATTTGTGATGTTTTGAATGCAGTTTCTAATCAAAGCCAATGTAAATATTGACTAACAATTAGAAGCCTGGTGAAAGAGAGACATCTTTGCTGCTCTTTTAAAGATCAAAACATTCTTAGAATAAGTAGATATGAGTTTGTAATTGATGTATGCATAAATATATTCTAAGGTTATACACAAAAATACAGGTAGTCTTTGCTTAATGACTGCTCTGTTTAGTGACTGTTCAAAGTTACGATGGTGCTGAAAAAGTAACTTTATGACCAGTTCTTGCACTTACAACTGATGCAGTGTCCCCAAGGTCATGTGATCGAAATTTGGGCGCTTTGCAACCAGCAGGCATTTACGACTGGCACAGCATCCAGCAGTCACATGATTGCTGTTTGTGTGCTTCACAGCCAGCTTCCAACAAGCAAAGTCAATGGAGAAGCCAGCAGTAAAATAGCAAGTTGTGGTCATGTGATGTCTCACGTAATGACCTGAGGTGACTTGCTTAATGATGGAAGCAGAAGTGACCCTGTTGTGGACATGTGTTGTTGCACTTAGCCACAGAATTGCAAGTCCCAATTGTGGTAGCTAAGTGAGGACTGCCTTTACTGTTTCAGAAGTACTGCCAAACTCTGCCAAGTGTGCTATGATTCAGCAAAAGCGAAACCAAAAACACATTGGTTGTTCCAGGTTTTGGTTGAAACAAAATCTGCAAGAGTATTATGGGCACAAGGCTCACCCTTCCTCTTCTACATGTCCTAGAAAGTCCAACCTGCTCTCCTATTTTCCCAGCCCATTTCTTTCCCTATCTCTCCTAAGCTGCTGCCAAAGTTGGCTTCAAGCAGAGTTACCATTCCGACCAGCTTATTCTCTCCTCTGTCAGTATTTCCAGTGTCTTCCTTTCTTTACAACCACACACTACTGTGACTTTTTCTGCTTCCAAATGAACACTTCTGCCAGAACATGAGTTTCGGTCTTCTAACCAGACCAAATATTGATGTTTTACCCTAAAAAAACTGAACTAAAAAACAAGCATTTTCAATTTGGACTCAGGCATCCTGAAACTAGCTCTTCCATGCATAGAACAGTTTGTGCACAATACAGCTACTAACTTAACTGATCTACATAACAGGTATAAACAGTGAAACATTTTAGAATTTGAGCTCACAAGCAGTAAAAAATGACTGCTGTTTTATTGCTTGACCAAGTACAGGTACTGTTGTAGTAGTAGTTACATTTAGTAAATTTCAAATCTACATCTAAGCAGAGGCAAAGCAGAAATAAGCTATAATTCTTCATCTGCACATAAAATTAAACAGACTCTGTAGTTTTCTAAGTTTGTTACATGCTGGCAAGTGGGAATGCTTGAGTAATATATAATAGAATTATTTGCAATTCCAGCCTACCAAAAAACTCCTTTAATAAAAATTAATTAAAAAAAAATCTACCTACCATAACATCCAAGCATAGCTGTTGTCTTAAAATCTAGAAAGCAGATGGTACCTTTCACATTGTTTGCAGAAATGAATAGTGACTTGTTTAGGGATTCCCTCTGTGATATCCACTTGAGTCCTTAAACAGGCTACACACATGTTGGCTGGGTTTGGCGGGATTGCAATGCCACACTGGCAGCATAAGCTATCACAAATAAAATTATCATTAAAATAAAACACACAGTTTCTTTATTAGAAAAAGGAAATAATGGAAAACAACACATAACTTTATTGTCTAGTGTCAAGAGTGCTAGACTAATATTAAGACTACGTAATTTTGATTCAGAGATTCAAGTTCAAGGCTGATTTGACTGAAGCCCTAAATCAAATCATGTTTCTGAATCAAGATAGAAGTCCAGCTGAATCACTGAATTAAACCAGATTCTCTGAATCACAACCGATTAGTACACTCTTACTGGAAACAGCTGTTTTATCATTTTGTCATTTTTTTTTAGGACAAATACTAGAATAGTGCTGGAATACTTAAGCACCTTGACATTGAAAATAAAACTGAGTGAGTAGGCAACATAAAAATCTATGTATAAATAAACAACAGTATTCTGAGGTTTAAATCTGTTCTCATATTTCAAAACTCACTTCCAGAATATTTTGGCTTTGTCCCACAAATGTTTATGCCACAGAATTTGTTTCTACTAATACTGTACTAATTTCCAAACAGCTTATATTCCCAATCATTTGATAATAGAGTCCCAATTCAAGAATGGAAATAACAGAAAGGATATTCAGAATATAAAGCCAAACCATTCATGCAGATAGACATTTGATAGATTTTGTGAAACTGTACCCCCTGCCCCCCACCCCCCATCAAAGGATTAAAGTAAGGGCTTCTTTAAGTCAACATTGACTCCTGGTGACTTTGATATGTCAATGCAATTTTCTTGGCACCAATACAAAGATAATTTGTCACTTCCTTCTTCTAAGATATTTTTTTCAATTTTGCAGTCTAGTCTACAGCTCTTGGATTTTGTGATTGTCTTCTATCCTATACTAACCAGGCATGACACTGCTTAGCTTTTTGAAATCAGTATAACACCTTGAAATAACAGAAAACTGACATATAATGGCAGAAGCAAGTTTCTCACCTGACAACTTATGTTTCCATATGCAAGGGTAGGCTGATTACACTGTTTCAAATAGGTAGTTCCTTGCATACATTTACTCCTAGGACTTCGTATTTTTCTATGTGTTTAGTTTGGCTTTCAAAGTCATGTTACTCACATGTTCCCCTGGTGAAGTGTAGTGTGCTCTCTCATATATTCCATTTTCTGTTCCACATGTGATTCTCCAAAGATACAAACACTGACACCTAGTGGAAGAAGGCCAGACCTTGGTAAATTGAGAATGATGAGGGCTAAATCTGTCACAATCTGAAATTCATAAGGTGGGAAGAAATGTGCTCCAATTTTAACCAAGAGATGGGGATTCAATGATTCCATGAAATACCAAGTGCCAAAAGAAAGATTTAAAACAACAGTAATTACAGGGCTAGTTTCAGCCAACCAATTAGAAGTTAAAATTAAAGGAAGAAATTGAGGTACAGAATCAAATGTCACAAAATATCACAATTCAGAAACAGATACCACTGCTGGGGAAGGGATGTTGGACACTAGTGTGCTTACAGAAATGCCCCATTTTTTTTCTTTTTTGAAGTGGCAAGCTAGCATTCTAGTAAATCTAGTAATTTTTCACATACTCCATAGCAGTCATTATGTGAACAGCAAACTTGCCCCAGCAGCCATTTTTTGAGAACCACCTAAAATTTGTCCGTAGAATTTCAAACATGTCCTCTGTTGCAAAATATTTATAGGAAGAAGCAATATTGGATTGTATAATAGGGCACATATATTGGAGCACAAGTGCACGGCCTGATAAGCAGCTGCAGTGCAATAGTCAGTTCTAACAGAATGTTCTACTGCAGTTACATAAAGCAACAAATTGCTAATCTGTTGCACTAGACAAGTTTTTTTGGCATACAAGACAAGGACTGCTAGTTAGAAGAAAAAACCAAGACAGGAGTTCAATATTAAGAGAGAGGAATTAAGGTTAAAGAGGAAAAACATCACAATATTTGGCATGGAAAACATGGAGATACTAGAATAAAATCTGCAGAATTAAGCTTGATTCACAGAACATACTATAATATTTAGCATGTTGTGGGAACTCAGGCCACTGCGTTAGCACATGGTGGAAACCTGGCCAGAATGTTATTTGTTTGGACATACTGTATTAAGTGAACTTAAATGAACCAGGAAGTTTTTTTGTTAATCAGGCTTAGGGTTTTCGATGTTATATGAAACACATACAAAAATACAAGGCATAAGCAAAGCATAGTAATCCAAGTGCTATTATTTGCAAAATTCCATGATGGTGCACTAGATCTCATATTGATGCCTTTTTGGGGGGGGGGGGTCCCTTCTAGTCAGTTTTGACTCCTGGTGTCTGCCTGGACTAGTACCTACAATTTTCTTGGCAAGGTTTTGGAAGCGGTTTGCCACTGCCTCCTTCCTAGGGTTGAGAGTGACTGGCACAAGGTCACCCATCTGGCTTTGTGCTCAAGGCGGGACTAGAACTCACGGTCTCCCGGTTTCTAGCCTGGTGCCTTAAACACTACACCAAACTGGCTTTCCTTCCATTAAGGGGTTTATATATCATACCCTAAATTGTATACCCTCTAGTGCCAGATGACTGGAAACAGCAGATAGTTTTTCAGACTTTTTTAGCACTACCTAGAGATGCCTGGAACTGAGCCCAGCTATCTGAGGCCGTCAGTTCTATGAAGCAGCTTTCCCCCCAAGATTACTCATTTCACCTGGCTCATAACTGCCCAAAGTTATGCACAAGCAGAACCCAACCTAAGTGCCACAGTCGGGTGGTCATTAATTCGGGATTCGGGTTTTTTTTAGCTCAATGGCAAAGCAGGCAGAAATAGTTTTTCCCTCTGTATAACAAGGCCATTTCTCATATCTATGGGGCAAAAAACAAAAAACCCAGATGTGAGGCTGGGGTTTTTAAACTGTTAAGCAGCGTTTCTCCACCGTGGCTATTTTAAGATGGGCGGACTTCAACTTCCAGAATTCCCCAGCATGCTGGCTGAGGAATTCTGGGAGTTGAAGTCCGCCCATCTTAAAACGGCCGAGGTGGACAAACACTGTTGTAAGGCATAGAGATGATCCTCTCAGAGAGCGCTCTTGCTACGCCCACCCTCTCCATCTTCTCCTGGGCACAGACTCTGGGTTCAGCTCCGACGCCACCGGGGGCTGGACGAGGGGAAGGGGTCGAAGCCAGCCTGCAGAAGTCACCTCCAACGGCACGTGGCAGCTGAGCTGTCGAGGGGACGCCAGCCAACGGCCAAGCTGGCAGGAGCCCTCTCCAATCCCTGCCCTGCTCACCCGCGCGTTCCGTCGCAGCCCGCAGACCAACCGGTCGCGCTCTCGCGTCCTCGGTCTTACTCACTCTCTTTCACGAGCAGCGGCCCACCGCTCACTCCAGGTCCGAGAAAAACGACGCAACTCTCGCGAGAACGCCTGTCATTCTATTTCCTCGCCTCAAAAAGAGGAAGTAAAAGGGTAGGAGTATCGTCACTTCCGGTTTCTTTTGACTCGTAGCATGGTGGGACAGCGTCCTTTCTAGGCAGGCAGACCTTTATCGCCACGCACAGAACTCGCGGGTTCTATCTCATTGTTCACTGGGGAACCGAAAGTGTTGGGTTGGGTTGTTTTCCGTGAGATAGCTTTTACCGAGTTTAAAAAGAAAGCTTGTGAAAACGCAATGCGTGGGCAAAAGCGTTACGTAAAAATGATGAAACGGCAAAGAAACACGGCTTTCTCTCTTGGGGTCTGTCTGCTTCACGTTTGAACGGGTAGCATCCTGTGGAGCATGGGGATCCAGCAGTCCTTGGCAGTCACTTAAAATAATGAGAAAACCCCGCTGGATATCAGATTAAAAAATCAACGTGGGAAATAATATTTAGGTTTTGTAACACTAGATTTGAAATATCAGTTTGAGGAAAGAATGTCACTGATTGCTACAAAAATTAATTCAACTGACTTTGCTTAACCCTGAATGCGTTTTCAGATTTCACTTTCCACAGATACCGGATGTGGTTCACAACCTGTTTGTAGCGGCAGGGCTGAACCCCTAGTCTTAAAAATATGCAGGAAATGAAATTGAACATGGCACAGTTCTTAGCTAATTTTTTCCTATTCCTCTAGAGGACAGAGGTCTTTTGCATCTGATTTTAGCCTCTTTGGCTTCTCTCTAGTGCAGCCTGAAGCTCCCTAATTCCTTAAGCCCACTAACTCCAGTACATAAGTGTCAAGTCATTTTTGACTCCTAGCAACCACATAGATAGACATGTGTATGAACTAGCTGGAAAAGCAGCCCTTTTTTGAATTTCAACTCCTTCCACTTTGGCTATAGGGATGGCCTGATGTTCTGTCTAGGCTGTTTATCATGGCCTCTACCTGGTGGATCCCTTGGCTTCTTCACCCTTCTCACCTGTGCCCGAAAGCAAACAGCAGTTGATTTCCTTTAGAGGGCAGCTCTTTGCAGTCATTCACCGCCCCACTGACTGAACTTGACACCTTCCTGTCTGGTGCATATAGGGGTAGACCATTAAAAACAAAAAGCAGAGTGTACCTTCTCACTAGGACTGCAGTGAGAAACTGGCAGAATGCTTTTCAATTTCATTTGATTAAAAAAGCAGCCCACATTGTTCCGTCACCCTACCTAAAAAAAAATAAAAAAAAAATCCAGCTGTTTACTGGTTACTTGGAGTTAGAGATGGGGGGAAAACATTGTACAGGGCATTTATTAGAGACTGGAGGGGAGGGTCCTTGCCACAGGGCACACTAACCAGTTGGAGTGGAGGTGTTTGCCTACCATGAAATGAAGTTGATTGGGTGATCTGAATATAGTAGTATCACTTGTGCCAGCAGAGGAGGGAAAATACTACTTTTGAAGTATAACAGGAACAGATGGGCAAAGGTTTCCTTCCTGGTGGGCTGGGAGCAGGTAGAGGAAGCTGTTGTTCATTCCTGTCCTTGATAAGTGATTAGAGGCCTATACTGTACTCACATTGGAACAAACTAGTTGCACTGATCATCCATGTGCCAATTTGTTTCCTGGAAAATCCAAGGCAGAGGCTCGAGGAGAATCTTAGTTCACTCTTTCTCTGGCCCCTGCCCCCAACAGCTTCTTGCCCCTTCTGCCAGAGGACTGCCTACAGTTTCCAAAAGAGCAAACACTTTTCTACCTGGAAAGAGAGAGGTTGTGGGAGATCTCTCCTTTGGGTAGTGTTAAAGTAAGTATGTCTCAGCTCCCATTTTCACAATACTAGGTGGCATCACAACAATGTTAAAATGTTGCCAATGCATTAAAGTTACCCAGACAAAGCAGTTTTTATTAATTAAATGTTGGTGCCAACATATTATTTTGTTTCATTGCTTTTTGCAAATGTTTGAGTCTATTGCCAAAGGAACTCAAACAAATTAGTTGAATCACTGGTTGTGGATCTATGTTTAATTTACCTAACTGAATTTTATGCCCTTTGTTTCAAAAATGATTTAAATCAAGACAGTGTATTGTAGCTGGCGGAAGATTCATGTTAAATAGCAACGGACAACCCAACCCAACACTCTCGGTTCCCCAGTGAACATGTGGGAGAACCCACAAGTTCTGTACATGGCGATGAAGGTCTGCCTGGCTAGAGAGGACTATTCAGCATAATCTGCTGACAACTGAATTGCCATGTTCTGCATCAGACTGTGCTAAACTAGGGCCCTTCAGGTGTAGTGGCATTACATCTTCCAGAAAGCTGGCTGAGAATTCTCATAGCTTACTCACATAAACTGTAACCTCAGGCTAATTAAGAATGACAATCAGGAAAGAGAATGTTCTTAGCATTCCATCAGTCAATGGTGGAATGTTGCTTTTATTTACAAGGTGCTTTGTTCCAGTGGTATAAAGGAAGAATAAAGGCTTCCAGTATTGTTTGCCCAATACACCTGGGGAAGCAGTTTTTGTTTGAGCCAAAAGAACTTCATAAGAACCCAGAAGAGAGAAATTAGAAATATTTATAGTAGCAACTAGGTGTAAGTATGTTTTAGAGATAAAAGTATTGGAGTAAGTCTTTGGAGACCCAGGTTCAAGTCTACTCTCAGTCATGCAGTTTCTTATGTGTCTTTCCTTTGGTGAAGGAAAAATAGCTGCTTTAAGAGGGTCATATGAATGAATAGCAAGTCCAGTGACAAACTGAGAAGCCAAAATGAGATATACAGGAAATGGAAGCAGGGGCTGAAAATTAAGGAGGAATACAAAGTATGGTTTAAGCCTATAGAAATGAGGTTAGGAAGAGTAAAGCTCAGAATCGGATGAGGCTGGTGAGGAATGCAAAGTAAGGGGTTTTTTTTGGAGAGGGGGAGCATTTTATTTATAAATAGGAGGTTGTTCATCTGTTGCACAGGGAAGGTGGGGAAATAATAACTGGAAATAAGGAGAAAACTGAACTGCTTGATACTTTCTTTGCAACTGTCTTCTCTCATGAAAGTGATCAAAGTCTTTCAGATATGTTGAGAAAAGGCCAAAACACAATTCAGTACCAATAAAGATATAGTAAAACTCCACCTCTCTTCCTTTAATGAATTTGTATCCCAGGACATTCAGATTAACATCTCAGAGTGTTGAAAGGGGCTGACAGAAGTGATCTCAGAACTGCTGACTCTCATATTTGAAAACTCATAGAGAAGTGGTGAGACACCAGAAGACTGGAAAAGAGCAAACATAGTCCCAGTATTCAGAAAGAGGAAAACCAGTGGCCAGTTAATTTAACATCTTGTGAGGCTTCGCAGCACAATTCTCACACTCGCTGATTAGCCCCCAGCAGAAACTTCAAGGATATGGCTCAGCTAGATTAAACACTTGACTGCAAACATAAAGGAACTCATTTATCAGCAGAAGCTCAGCCTACTACATAACACAGGAATAAAGCCCTCTATATGTCTTTGTCAAGGTCTTTTCTTCCCATCTTTTTGAATCAATGGTCTTTTAGAAGTTTGTCATCTGTTTCATGTTCACATAATGGTATTAACTGGGAACAGCGCTTATGGTTCTTGCCTCATTCATTTCAAACCTTATGGAACAGTCTTCCCTAGCCCTGACTCTATTGACCTTTTGGAAAGGCATGAAGATCTTGTACTTCCCACAGGTATTAGGGCCAGGCTGCTAAGTGATTGGAACTCTGGTGTTGATGTATACAATAGGTGGGAACTGAGATTTTTATTAGGTCTTGACTTATTTCTTTCCCCCACCTTTTTTTTTTTTTGGTGTAATGGGTTGGATACGTTTTCATTTTGTTCACCACCCACCACCCAGTTTCACTGGATAGATGGGTAGTCATATAAATTTGATAAATATGCACATAAATCCATCCATCCGTCCATCCATCCTTACACTCTGTACTATGCAAGGAATTAGAATAAATTATCAATCAGTCTGGGAATGCTTCAAAAAGAATACTACAATTACCAGGAGACAGTAGAGGTTTATCAAGAACAAGTTGGTCAGACTAATCTTATCTCTATTTATTTATTTAATTTATATGCTGTGATTGTATGATTGACTACTGGAGTCTATCTGATAGATTTTATGATAGACTACTAGAGGCCCAAAGGAATGTTGTGGGTGGCATTTGCCTTGATCTCAGCAAAACATTGGACAAGGTCTGTCATGGTATCTTGAGGACAAAGTGGATCAAATATGCTCATAAATGGATCATTGTTCTGGAGACAATAATTAAATGGATCCCCAGAGCAACATGCTCAGCCCAGTTCTATTCAATATGTTTATAACTGATCTAGAGGACAGAACAGAAAAGATGCTTTATCAAATTTGTAGATGACACCAAGCTAGGAGGGTTGGTTAATACCCTAGAGGATAATTTTACAATTTAAAATAACATTGACAGGATTGTACATTGGGCCAACTCCATAACAATGGATAACAATGGTGACATATGTAAATTCCTACATGTAGATAGGAAAAATCAAGAGTATATTTATTGGACTGGGGAGGCCTGTCAGCTAAACATGAACAATCATGGTGGTGCAGCAGCTAAAAAAGCAGTTTGGGGCTCTTAATAGAAGCATTGCATCCAGAAAGTGGGAAATAATTGTTTCTACTGTATTCTTGCAATAATGTGTCCAGTTCTGCGCATCACGTTTTAAAAGGGAAATAAACAGATTGGTGTGGGTTTAAAAGGATGATAACGGGCCTGAGATAATAGCCTAGATGCAAGAGAGGCCAGACTTGTTTTCTGCTGAACCAACAACAGGGCAAGGGCTGAGATTAAAAGAAAAGAGATTCAGGCTGAGTTTTAGGAAGAACCTTCTGATTTTAAGAACTCTTTGTCAAGTCCACGATGTCCAACTCTCAGTTCTGAAGCATTCTCACGCAACCAGTCTTGGT